CCAGACACCATCTGTTCCAAGAGGCAGGAAGCTCCAGGGCAACACTTTCTGGAAGGCCACGGACCAGTACAAACCAGCACCCCATCAAGCCTTGTGCCTGGAAAACAGGCAGGAAAGGATTTTCAGCCTGGGAAGGATTCTTCTCTCTCTTTCCCCCCCCCCTCCCCGGAAGACACTGGGAGAAGCTGGTGTGGAAGGAGAGCCCTCCCTCCAGGAAGGGAGGCAAGCCCACTCACTCAACACCAACACAACAAAATGCCCCTTCCTGTGTAACCAAAGCCCGGCCACAGGCGCCTGGAGGCAAAGGGAGCCCGACACAAGAGCAGGGCTGGTTCCGGTAACCGGAGAAGATGGCTTTTGTCGTCCTTTGGTTTCTTCTCGGAGAAGGATCCCCCGCAGAGGGGAAGGAACGAGGAAGGACACGGAGAAAAGGGCAAATGGAAACAGGGGGGGTCTGGTAAAGAAAGGAGGAGCCCCCCCTCACTTATTTTCAGACCACCAGCACCCTTTAGTATTGCAAAAAGGCAATGCTTCCCCGAGAACCCCAGTGCAATCACGGTTCTCAACCCGTCCTACAAATGTTGGGTGCTCCGACCGGTTGAAGGTTCATTCTTCTTCCAGCCCTACCTGTCCCGAACTATCCATCCAAGACCTCTTGGGGCGCTGGCAGGAACTTGGGCTACTCTTGCTCTCAATCCAGGGCCCTTCCTTCAGGGCCTGCCCTCCTTTCTCCTAAAGGAACAGTGGTGCCACGATTCCAGAATGCCTGCCAGCATACCGAGGCTGTCCCCGGGCCAAGGGGGCTGGGTGCTTTCTTTCCTTGCAGGTCGTTTCCAAAGGACGACTGGTGGAGCAGAAGGAAGGAAAGGCCGAGGGCCGCACAAGGACAAAACCGGGACGTCTAGCGCCCCTTTCTTTGCCAAGAGAATGGCAGGGCTCTTAAGAAGTCGCAACTTTGGAAATGACTTCACATATTCCAGCGCTCCTCTCCAAAACAACATTCCAGGACACTCCGTTTTGGGTCCAGAAGGAAATCTGGCCAGAACCGGGAGCGCTTTTGCAGCTGACCACAGAAGCAGGAAAAACAAGGTCCAGGTGCCACCCTTGGCCCGCTCTGCAGCTTTGAGGATGGACTGAACCTTCGGAGTGGCTTCTTCAACCCCAACAGCCTCCTTTCTGCCAAGTAGGGAGGCCTCGGTCCAACCACTTGGGGTCACAGCTGGGTTCCCCCAATGCTCAGAGACCTTTGAGTCAAGTTGCTCCATGGCTTTCAGCGGAGCTTAGCCGGAGCTTAAGTGTCCCTTCTCTGCTTAGATCCCTAGAAGCAAGACAAAGCCAGGAAAGGAATTTCCTCCGGGGTTCTGAAAACCACAAGCACTCTCCGAAAACAAGGGAACAAAGTTCAGCAGCAGAGGAATGCAACCGAGATCCTTCCAGGTTCGGTCTCCAGCAGTGCAAAGGGAGGGGACCCCCACCAGCCCCAACCCCTCCTCTCGCTGAGACACCCCCCCCCGAGGATGGAGGCCAGGCTGGGAGGGATTGACGCACTCCAACCGTAGAGACGGTGGCTTCCCATATTACTCATAAAGAACCAATTGTACAAGCAATTCCTGGTGGTGCTTCTCTAGAAGCACAAAATACTCCGTGGCAATTTTGACATGTCCTAAAACGTGGGGTATGATGACACAAGAGTAAAGGAAAGATTCCCCCCCCACACACACACACACATCTGGAAAACTGGCAGATCCACAGGGAGAAGCATCCGTCGTTGGTAGGGCTGCTCAGGAAGGAACAAGCCCCCCCCACCTGTTTCCAGACCCCAATTGAATAGTTCTACTGGGGTTTTGTCAGGTGAAACATCACGCACCCTCAGCCCAGAAAGACTTGGATCTTTGATCCAACATCATCGTTCAGTGGCAGGGAGCCTGTTTTGCTCTAGAAAAACCAATTCCTACAGACCCCTCTGAATAAGTTTTTTAAAAAACCCCCACAAAAGCCACAATCATGTCAGGCAAGATGGACGCATGAATGGCGTGAGCTTTGAAAAGCTCTCCTTTCTCAGACTGCAAAATCCCACCACTGCCACCACCAAACAGCCGACATGTCAGGAATCAAGCAAACAAATAAAGATTGCCCGCACACTGATGTATTTTAAAAAGTTGGTTTTTTTAAAAAATAGTTTTTATTGTCAACAACAATCGAAGAATTAATTCAGGTGACTTCTTAAACAACTAAACAGGGAGTGATTGGGGGGGAACCCATAAAAGGGGGAAGGAAACCTTTCTATGAAAACTCTACAAGCTGGTTAACGTCATCACCCGGACTCTTTTTAAAGTCCTTCTATTATTATGTTTTCCCCAAAAAGTAAAAAGTAGAGAAACCGAGACAGGAGGTTTTTAGAACAGAGAAGCTCACATAAAAGAAAAGAAGCTAAAACGGTTGTCCAGGGACGCCTTTCTTTTCCCCCCTGCTGTGCAAACTGTATTAGAAACAAATTAACAAAGGTTAAAGGAGAGATTATTGCTGAGCAGAACATGACTTTGGTTCATTAAATCTAGTTTGGGAGAAAAGGGAACTGTGAGACCAACAGGCTATCTTGACCCAGTGGCTAATTACTCAGCCCTTTGCCGCTGCAAACCAGGATGTGCAGTTTAGCCTTAAATTTTTTGGGGGGGGGCGGACAGGAGACAACAGGGTGGAGCGATGGCCCCCCTACCCGCTTCTTGCCAAGTTTCCTATTCAACCTTGGGAAATGGCTCACAAATGCAAGCCATAACTTCTCCCTTCCACCAGAGGGAGCTGGACCACAACCAAACACACACCACTCTCCCCTTCTACCTCTCTATGGCAAAACAAAGCAAAACAGAAGGTTTTTTTTAACTTAGTGTTCACTTCTAATATTCAAAAAGGTGCTTGGGAATTCAGGCTTCTTACTCACAAGAAAGGGGGGAGGGGAAATAAGAGGTGCCATACAATATTTCCACTGCATTCTGTTTCTACTTGCATGACTCATGAATAAAGAGGGTGGGGAGTTTTAAAAAAATCATTATAATCTGTCTTTTTAATCTTCCTTTTTTTCTAAAGAAAAAAATGGGGGTGTTTCACCATAAAGGAAACAAGTTACCCAGAAACATCAAGAAATATTAAGGAAGAAGACAGTGTCAGTCATCAGCTACATTGATTCAAACTCACCCTGGTAGGAAAGAATCAATCAACCAATGTATTAATTAGTATTCATTAAGGCGGAAAGGCTTTGGAATCAAGGTCTCAGTTGAAACTCTGGTGCTTGTAAAAAAAATAAACAACTTTCCAGATATCCTTTTAAAACTTAAATTAAGCCCGTTTTGCTTCCTTTGATTTGTTAAAAAAATTGCTACAATCTAAATAACCCTGTTGCAACGCTACTTCTACTGGTAATAATGGGGTGGGGAGAAGATGACAACCAGGCGGAGACCAGCAAGCAACTGTGGAGCAAACACCTTCAAAACTCTCGTGGAAGGACACGGAGCAAAACCACAGGTTATGCAGAGGAAAACACTGAGAGGATTGGGAGGGCGGGCAGGCAGGCAGGCAGTCACACACGTTGGCCTCAGGAAACGCAGACAGATGGGAGGGGGGAGGAAGAGGAGACTGCCTTAAAAAACGGAGTGGGACCTTTCCTTTGCGTGTGGGTGTGTGTGTGGGGGGTCACCTTCCTCTTCCTCTCAATGTATCTCACCAACCCCATCCCTGATTTTGACTTTTCTGCTCTTATACGGGCTTAAATGTAGACGGTTTTGCCAAGAAAAGTTAAAACCAACCGCAGCTCAAGGGTGAACAATGGAAAAAGTGCCCAGCATTTGGGGGGGGGCACGCAGAGTGTGGTGTCTCTGTGTATATGAGACCCAAGGAAAAATGCATATATATCTATAAAAATTTCAGGACGTGAATTCCTCAACACAAACAGGCCTTCTGAGCAACCAGTAACAAGAGAAGACAACCTTTCGGTCCTGGGCACTACGGAGCCCCCTGGTCAATGCCTACCTCAAAAGGGTGGGTGGGGTTTTTTTCTGGGGGGGCGTAAGCTAATTTGCTGGAGGCTTCACAAACTGCTTGGGGTGCTCAGCCCAAATATTAGAGGGTCTGGATTCTGAGGCCCTGGGAAGGATTCTCCCCGAACGCTGTGCCCTCCACCTACTGAGAGAATGCGCAGAGTTCCTCGTCACCCTCCCCACAAAACAGGACAAGCCCTCTGCTGCATTGCTACAACGCTCTCCGCTCCCTCTCGACACCTGGGGCACCCAGGGCAACCCCCCCAGCGGGGTCACGACAAAAAAGGTCTGGAACCAGCAAGCCCAGGATCCCCTTCCTCCATCTCCCATCCTGTGCCCCTACGAGTGCGGGGGGGGGGG